GAGAGAGCGGCGTTGAGTCACGAATTTCGCGCGGAAAATTTTCTCCAAAAAAGTGCGGGTTCCAGTCAGCAAGGAGGGGCGGGGCATGTAAGGGAGGGGCGGGGTATGCAAAGCGAGGCGGGGCATGTAGTGCGACAGTTACTGCTTTACAAAAATTTTCTATTTATGCAAGAGGGAGTCCCGAAGTGCGAGAACCATCTCGCTTCCGACCATTGTGCTTTCTTCTGTTGCGAAAATTTGGATTATTTTAGGTGATATGAGCTATCGTACCTACTTCATGACCCCTCGACTGGATAGAGGCCTATCTCGCTATTCAGAATAGCTGCAGCAAATTACAGCATTTCATCTTCACGACCTTGGTTGCACAATGACCAAACGAGCGTGAAATGGGGTTACATTAACTGTAGTGAAGGAATTTTTGAAATAATACCTGTAATTATACATTCTGGCCATTTCTGACCATTGGCTTCAATTGTGGCTTCGAACAGACCGCGTGAGTCCAGTTTGAGATCTCGAGAGGCCCCGTCATCCACTGAAGTAGCTAGCACCCACTCTTTGATTTCCTCGTGCACTGAACCCTGAAAGCCCAACAATCGGGATAGAAATCATGGGAAACGTCCCTCGCTCGCAGTCTTACCTCAACCCATGGAGATTCAGGTAGTGGTACTTCTGCAGGTATGTCAGTACCTTCAAACGCGGAGTAATCAACCAGCGAAGCATCGCCTAAATTTAAGAACCTGTAGACAGGGTCGACCGTCCGTTGTTCTGAATTAAAAATCTTTTACGACTTCCCCTCTTGAGGAGGATGGGGTGGGGCTAGACACAAACCCCATCTTCACCACCAAGGCTCTTCCCCATACGACCGTCACCCTCAGTACAGTAGATGTTTATACTATGTCTATTGTGAGACCAGTCGACACAACTTCGCCATTTTTCTCCTCAACGCCCATTGCAGGTGGGGGTTAGAATACAGCTAAGGACACGGCAAGGGTTCTAATATTGTTACTTCACGCCCTTCTCAGAGGCAGTGGTTACGATGGCTGGAGGGCGGTGCGGTTTGATGACGTCGTGGAACGTTATTGGTGGAAGGGTGTTGAGGGGCTGTCTCAACCACGCCTCTTTCCAGCGCGCCGAGGGGTCTAATCCACCAATGACATTCGATGACGTCATTGAACCGTACTGCCCTCGAGATATCGTGATCACTGCCTTTAAACTTTCCACAAAATCGTTAAAAACTGTAGAAAATGGTCCCCCACTTCACTCTACTGCAACACGACCCCTCAATGTCCACCTCACAACCCCCTTCGGAAGTTCAAATCGAATCTCCTCCCCTTATCGTCAACATGTAAGAATTGAAATACGAGACCCCCTCAAAAATGCCTGACCCGAGCTCACTCCCACGGTTAACCCTGTTCGCAAATAGAGCGGATGGCAGTTCACTTTAAGAGTATGATAATGACTCAAACTCACCCTCATCAATAGCATCTACCAAATCGAGGTAGTGATTAAGTAGTAGAAACGCTAGAGGAGCGTAGTCTCCGCCTGCATCCTGAACTCATTTTTTATATTCGTTTTCCACAATGTTAGATGGGAACAGTTGCCTATGACGCGCGCTTGTAACCTTCAAGGCCACAATTCCACGAAGAAGGCAGGTGTATAAAACCCTTCTGCGAGAAAAGATGAGCTATCCACAAAAGTATGTGGAAAGTGTGCTGTTCTGGCGGCCCGAAACTGTGCAGTAAGGGTGTCCCGAATCGCGTTGGAGGAAAATATTCGGTAGGAGCAAAGGGTCATCGAACCTTGGCAGCGATTCCTGCTTGGTAGAAAACGCGATCTGCTGGAATGAGATCTGAGTAACGCAAAAGTGAAATGGACTGCTGTAGGCGGAGCCGTTGCAAATCCGCCGTTTGAATGTCCTGGAATGAGGAGAATAAGGCTGAAAGTGTTTATTTTGTAGCACAAGGTTACTC